ACTTTTTTTTTTTATGGTAATACAGGTATTTTAATCACTTTAAATTGTTCAAACAGACTCAAGTTACCGTAAAAAAACAAAAAAAATGTTATGTAAATGACTGAATTCTATTTTTTTTTTTTTAATCATTTTACTTGGGTTTTACAATTGCTTTACCCTTCAAAACTTTAAATTGTTCAAACAGACTCAAGTTACCGTAAAAAAACAAAAAAAATGTTATGTAAATGACTGAATTCTATTTTTTTTTTTTTAATCATTTTACTTGGGTTTTACAATTGCTTTACCCTTCAAAATGCTTGGTCAAAAAAACAAAAACAATTTGGGTCAAAAATAAAAACTGGGTCAAATTGACCAAGTTGTCCAGTTTTTGACCAAGCAGTTTTTAAAGAAGTTTTGTACAAATCTAAAATTGTTCAAAATTTAGAATTATTACATCTATGCTAATTTCATGAGCCGGTCAATGACGTTTTGTCTTGTGCATTAGCATCAAGCTAGTGCCCTTTTGTAAATCGAAACAATGTAGTTTGTTTAAATACATGGTGTAAGTTTCTTTTATTTTCGACGTTCCTCGTCACCTCCAACTGGGAGTGGCACCAAACTGTTTGAAGCGAGCGCATTTCTGAAGAACAGTTCTGTCGGGGCTTGAAGGGAAGACACTTGCGGTCATGTGAAAAGAAAAAAAAAAACGTTTTGTGATGATATATTCATTCACCCTTTTGAAGAAGACACTTAATTGCGGTCATGTAAAAAAAACAAAAACGTTTTGTGATGATATATTCATTCACCCTTTCCTTTTTCTTTATTGTGTCTTACTTAACCCTCTTGGCTCGTTTTATGACAAACTTTTTGGCAGAGTAATCAATCAAAATCAATGAAGCCTGCGTCGAGGCGGAGTTCCACTCCAGTCGGCGCACGTCCTTTCTTTGTGCGATCAGAGCAAAGTTGGCAGCGGCAAGAAAAGAGCTCCCCCGCGGTCCAATACGATTCACGCTGCCGAGGATGACGGATGACGTCACTAAATCGAGCTTCAACTTGTCCGTGGCTCTTCTTTTGTGTTGCGTTTTCCAATGCGCATTGAGCGCATCAGGCCAGTCGCTCAGGGTTGGTCGGCACCATCGCATGTTGCCTCCGCGTCATGACACCACGGCCTAAATCGGATTAGTGACATCAGCGTGTGTCGATTCCGCAGGGTTCACTGCAGGTCGTTCACGCCGCCCGGTCGCGCTGGCCTCTGCAGCTGTCACCTGGCAGAGGCACAGGGGCCGCCCTGTCCGCTCTGTTTTTTTTTTCCAATCGGCTGTGCGCACATCGACACAATCATGACTGTGACGTTGTTCGTTTCACCCTTTTTCTAACGACACAGTGAGGCTTTTATTTGGCCGAGTCAGACCATATTAACCCTTGAAAGCTCCTGTCTCACAACATACGGACTCTCCCTTGTCAGTCACGAGGCACCCAATGCGGAAGAACCCAATGGGGAACAGATTTATTTTTGCTTCATGCTTTGAATGAGAGATTCACTCTCCAAATCTTCCCAAATGAAAGCGGTGAAATTGTAGTTTGTAACTTAAGAGGCGACGTTTGTTTATGCTGAGATCATTGCCGGAAGAAAATTGGCATTTATTTCCATGGAACATTTCGCTGCATGCTTTGAATGGGTAAAAAAATAATAATAAAGTAGGGCTGGACGATTCGGCGGATTCAAATGGACATCGCAATGCGGGAGAATGCAATTTACAAGTGGCAAATTGAAAAAAAATGAAGATGCTTCAGTTAGTAAGCTTTATTTTTCTTTATTTTACATGGATGTTGTGGTCGCGTCTCGCTCGAAACAGTAAGTTCAGTGTACTTAAAAAGTGCCGTTGCCATTTTTTGAGAGAAAAGTTGAAGTGACAATGAAACCGATGCTTGCAATATTTTTGTTGTGTATTTCTTGTATGCAAGATTTTAAAAAATAAAAAACATCACAGTAAGTATTGTGTAATAACAACTCAACAATTATATTTTGGGGAAAAAGATGAGCATCCACAAATCAAATCCAGGTACAGCACTCCACAGATTTTGAAGTGAAATAATCCCGCTTCTGAAGTTGGATGCATTACAACTCTAATGTCGAATATATATATATTTTTTTCCATACATGAACGAAAAAAAGAGAGCGCAAGTTACCGAATGTAACTCGGGACAAATGTTTTTTTGTGTCACATGGTACAAAATGCCACCAGGCTCTCTCAAGGGTTAATCTGGAGCAAAGAGTGGGTCCCGCCGAAAATATTCAACAATCAACATTTTGCTTTATTGAAACATTTGCAGGTTTCCGCTTCTGAAGTTGGATGCATTACAACTCTTAACGTCGAATATTTTATTTTTTTTTCCATACATGAATGAAAAAAAGAGAGCGCAAGTTACCGAATGTAACTCAGGACAAATGTTTTTTGTGTCACATGGTACAAAATGCCACCAGGCGCTCTCAAGGGTTAATCTGGAGCAAAGAGTGGGTCCCGCCGAAAATATTCAACAATCAACATTTTGCTTTATTGAAACATTTGCAGGTTAAATGCTCTTCAACATTTTTCTTTCAATTTTTAAAACCCCAATGACTCCAAATGTTTCACGCTGCCGTCTAACAGGTTAAAACACGATTGGAAGTGCAAACAATCACATAAAAACAGCAAAGCGTTCCTTGCGAACCAACGGTCGTAAAAATTAGGCTTTCTCATACGTGCGCACGGCCTCGACGCCGTCAAACGTCAAAGTCTGCGGAAAAAAAACAACAACAATAAAGACGGGAACATATTATTGATCAGCATTGTCATACTGTGGTGCCTCGACTTACGAGTGACCCAACTTGTGAGTTTTTTAAGATGCGAGCCATTTTAAATCAATGAACACGAGCGGTCGCAACACATGCTTAAACACATGGGATTATATTCTTCACCCTCCGCAATAAACAACTACTGTTAACTGTTGCGTAGTTGCGACAGACTTCTGTTTTATCATCAAATTTACATGTTGCGAGTTTATGTATTAACCGCCACCTGGTGGCCAAAGCATGCACACCATATACAAAGTCATACAGCTCAAAGTGTTTCGTTCTTCGCTACCTTTTTAATTACGTTATGAATGATTTTTTTTTTTCTTTAAGTACAAAAATTTCTCATCCAATGTTTTTTTTTTTTTAAAAAAAACACATTTGACAAAAATGTTGATGTTTTTTGGGGGGCACTGGAACGGATTAATGGTATTTCCATTCATCTCAGAGGGGGAAGATGATTTGAGAGACAACCATTTTGAGTTAAGAGCGTGGTGTGGTCACAGAATAAATGAAACTCACAAGTCAAGGCAAGGCAGTATTTATGACGTCATCTCACCATCACCATCTTCCCATCCTTGATCTCTCGGACAAACGTGGTCTCTTTGCCGTCCCATTTTTGCACTTGCACAAATTTGCCGTTTTCCACGGTGAAGGTGGACTGAAACAAAAATGCAAATGAGTGCTCGTCAAAATGATCGATCTATTATAATTTTGCATTGAGGCGTTGACATTACTTTGACTTTTCGGTCGTCCGGCGTCGTTTCATCAAACTCCTCTCCCAGTTTGGCACTGAGTTTGGTGTTGCGGAAGGTGCTCAGAGTCTCCACCACCACTTTGTCCCCATCCTTGCTGATCACCACTGTGGGTTTGGTCGCAATGCCCACTTTTCTTGTGATAGCATCCACTCCTAGTGTGATTTATTTTAGGGTTTTTTTTGGAACAACAAAATGATAATATAAATAAGTAAAACTGTAGACATATTCAAAATCGTTGTGCGTCGAGGGTAAAAGTTGACGAATTTATCAATATTTTCAAATGGCATAAATAGCGCTATGGAGCATTGGTTTAAAATGAAAAAAAAAACGTTGGCGTCAAGCCTAAACTTTCAGTTTCAAAATTAGGTCCACTTAATTTTTCACTAATTTCTGCTATTAGTCAGTCGCCGCGTGTGTTTGTGTGTGTGTATTATTAGTACACGTTAATGACCGAACTAAAGTCTTGAACATTGTATCTGAACATTGCTTGCTCTCTTTGCCGATGCAATGTTCAAGGCTGAACAAACATGCCGTCTTTGTTTGTTTGTTTGTTTTCTGGAAAGTCATGCTTTTGGAGATGCAACAACTCCGCCCGACGGCAGCAGCCTTGACACACTTTAGAATAAACTACTCACCGAGCGCCTTCATGTAATCCTCAAATTTCTCGCTGTGCACCAGTTTCCACTTCGCGCAGAAAGCATCTACCATTTTTGCAGCTTTTCAGTCAAAATGGAGACGACGCATGAACGGGTCACACCACTTAAATCTCTGGCTTCTGTGTTGTCCGTGCCGGTGCAGATTGCTCCAGGCAATAAATAATTCAGATGAAAGGCGGGCTCTTGAGATGAAGCTAGAAATCCAATTGGACGCCCAATAGCGAGATGTCGTCTCTGATTGGTCCAAATAGAGAAAAGTCCGTGAATGGCAGATACATGTGGATGGGGCTCGTAGGGTGACCGCCACTTTAAGTAGTTGTCTTTTATAGTTGTGTTATATATATAACCCAAATTAAACCACATTTAAATACGTACAGTTATAGAGCAAGAGCAATGGATAACTTCTAAATATTGTGCGGTGCCACAGTATGCCATCCACTGCGAGTGACAGTTACTGCTAAAATTGCTCATAACATCAATAATGAAAGTCTATTACTGTATGTTCTTAATACACAAACTCAAAACATGTAAATCTCAGAGAAACACACACTTATTTGGGCTTTTTATATGTCAGAGCAATCCAGTTGCGGTTCAGATGCGATTAGACACAAAGAACAAGCAATGATCCGATGATTCATAAATACATGTTGCAGCCTGCAGGCTTAGGTTTTTTTTTGTTGCGTCTGACACAGTACGATTCTGGTCGAGCGAACTTGGCCAGGCGTGTCGGCTGAAGTCCCTTGCCGTGGTATTGTTGTGCATTCAGGGTACCTTATCAAGTTTTTGGTGAACAGTAGTGTGCAATTATTGCTAAAAGATAGACCTGTGTGCCGGTACTTAAAATTACATCGGATGAATTAGGTTTTAAGGCCTATAAATTATATTTTTTAAACCGCTGAGCCATGTCAGGGCTGGAATGAACCGGCCGTTGTGTAGTCATCGTCAATTTCCCAATGTTCCGGGAACCCCCACACATACGAGCTGTGTCCAAATTCGTAAAACGTGTCTTCCCGAAAGACCCCTCGCAGGCTGGGTCCTTCAAACGCTCCTCATCATGTGGCTTCTGTGGCGAATTTGGGACAAGCCTCGCGACTCGCATTTGGTTGTCTTCGGTACCGCCGCTAGATGGCAGCAATGTGCTCGACTGGTAAAAGAGACGAGGTGTTGAAGTGTGGAAGAAGAGTGGCTACGTATGCAGCCTATGAAAGCGTGCTTGGAAGCGGCCTTCATTTAGGGGCCTTCTCCATGGAAACGAAGGCCAAATTTGTCGGCCAGATTCAAAGGACGCGTTCATTTGGAAACTGGCGTGTGGTCAAGGAAGTTAGACGTGGCCTTCTCATTGGACCTTTGGAGGGCGCAGACAACCACTGGTAAAAGTAGTGAACTACAAAAAAAAAAAAAAAGTGTGATACCCTTTTATTTGAGATGTGGATAACACATTTTACAGTAAAATCTGAGTAAAATACTCCAAAAATAAAATGTACTGATCATTTTATGATCAGGCATAAGAAAAGAAATTCCGTGCAAATTCTTGGCACTGCTCATGGCGAGATTATTACAGTATGCAACAAAAAACAAAACAAAAAAAACACCTTTCTTGTCCAAAAATGTTAGATTAATTAAGCAACAAAACAAAACAAACACCTTTCTTGTCCAAAAATGTTAGATTAATTACAAGTTCATATAGCGCATGCAAGAATATTCCGAGATCAATACATAAATGTTTACTTTTGCAGATCACCACAAAATGGTTGTCCCCCCACAAAAAATATTGGTGCCCCTGCTAATACTTTTTCAGCTCTTTTAAACCATTCATTAAATGACAATTGCTTTTCCCCCCAAATACTTAAAAAGCCAACAAATGTATTATTAAAGGTCCCATGCTACCAAAATAATTTTTTCCACTGTGTAATTTTGGTAAAAATGCGAGTGACACGGTTTAAAATTCAACACATATGCAGTTTGTCATTTGCACGGAGAAGCGGGCTGATTCGAATGAATTCTGCGCTGTTGTGACAAGAGGATCGTGACTCAATATTCAAGTGCATGCCCACTTTAGTGTTGCTCCACACTCACGCAACTCAGGAAAAAAATCTCCAACGGCAAGCATTGCACCAGTTTCTTGTGCAAAGCTAAAACTATGCATCAGCTGCCAATCTCTGAGGAGTTAAGAAATAAACGGCATCATTTTTGGTGATCACGAGTTCGCTGTGCGTCACCATGGATGTGGAAAAATGTCCTTAGTGAGGGATCTGGCCTTCACCCTGCCGTGGCTATGGCAGCGTGCACCGTGGCTGGCCACAGTTGCACCGACGGCACACTGAATTCCATTTTTCCATAACAAATTAAGTAGAACAAAGATCCAATCAGAGAAAAGTTCATTTACATATTAATAAGAAAAAAAGACCATAAAAAAATTACCATAATTTCTGACCAATAAAAATAGCTAAAGTAACGGCATCCTGCTCATTTTCAATCCAAGTTATTTTACAAATCTGAGAAAAGGATATTGAAAAACCATTTCATAAAAATTGTTGCATGGGACCTTTAATATTTCAGGGCTTGTTGGTGGTTTGATGAGATTAAAAAAAGATGGGGGGGAGGGCAGCCGAGGTAGACAGCAAGGCAAAGAAGAGTGAGGTAGGGAGGGTAAACGGCACTGATGCTCGTCAATGTACAGTAAAGGCCTCTTCTCCCCTCTCTCTGCCTTTTAGAGCATTACATCATCTGTCGTCGTCATCATCATCATCATCATCATCCTCATCCTGGATTAAACAATAAACAGTGTTATTGAGTCTTAAGTGGCTGCTCACTGAACCCTGACCTTTCCGGTTATGATTAGAGGATTGTCCTGAATGCAACATGGCACCTTACGTCGTGCGTGTGTGGACTACGACGACGCATCCACTGTGTGCTAGTGGCAATGGCTACTAAAGACACCGACATTGATGGACAGCGGCACCTCTGGCCTCTTGGTCGCCTTTGTTTGTGATCCAGCGCAGTTTGAGCCTCCAGCCCGCTCTCTAAAAAAAAAAAAAAAAAAAATTAATACAAGTCCAAAATTCCATCAGACTCCATTGAACATGGCGAAAACGTGCGGGACAACAGCGAATCGGTCCAGCTTTTCCATCTAGTTTTGGCTTGCGAGTTAAAAGTAACCATAAATATGAAAATGCGAGCAGAGTTTGCAGCGCCTGCCCACGTAAGCAATAGCGTCTTAGCCGCTAATAAATCAATTGCACATTTGCAAGTAGCGATGATGCGAAGGCCGTATGTAGGATCATAACTTCAAAATGGTTGTTTACATTTTGAGGCGGATTCATAATTCCCGAGGGCTCCATTTTGAGTACTAGTTGACTGTGTTACATTGTTCTGCATCTGTTGAACTGCCGAATAAAAATGTTTGAAATGACTGGGAAAAAGAAATATTCATAAAATTTTGAATTGCTCTCTAATGACCTTTGTTGTCAATAACAATGACTTAAAACTAGCAATTTAACAGCGATATAAAGTTCATTTTTACAGGTATTTTTTTTGATTGCATTTTTCAAAAACAGGCAAAAAAAAAAAAAAAATGGATTGATTCAAGCAGTTAAAAATAAAAATGCTACCCTATGCTTTGTTGCTCCGCCTGCTCTCCGAGCCCCTGCTGGCTTTGTTCATTCTCCCGAGTGTAGAAGTCCTTGTCGTCAATTAAAAGATTCTGCAAACAGGAAACATCAAATATAAAAATTCAAAAACAGTCAATGTATTTTTTTTCCCAAATTGTGTTTCTTTTGATTAGTTTTTTTTACCCTGACACCTATCACATCACCATCTTTGAGATGAAATGGTGCTCCTAATAGTGAACCTGTCTTTTTCTTCTTTTTCTTCCTAGACAGCTGGCTGCTCTGTAACAAAAATACAAAAAAATAAATTGAGTACAGTGGTCCTCCAGCTGTTGTTGGGGAGTTGGGACCAAGCTGACCCGCATATAGTGAATATCCGCATATAATTGATGCTCATTATAAATGCAATTAAAAAACATCTTGAGGTGGGGAATAATTATTTTCCATGACAAGTGGGAGTTGCCACAACAACCGCCTACAAAAAAATGTAAAATAAATAAAGCTGCAAATACATTTTTAAGTGTTTATTTCTTACTTAATTTATAATAAATAATTTTGCTGCTGTAAATTGCGAATTTCTCCATTGTGAGACAAATAAAGGTTTTCTTATCTTAAGTGAATGCGGGTGACAAAAACCGTAATCCCTCCCCCACCACAGGTCTTACATTCCATGTTGTGGCTGGCTTGACTTGCTTTAGTGACAATGAGAACAAAAACGGTTAACTGAGGCAGAAAAATAAATCCTTGAGCATTTTTTTAGGTCACTGAATTAAATCGAGAACTTGTTTGACCTCTACCGTGGTGAGGCCAAAGCCCAGCCTATTTTGAAAGTATTTCACTGGTGCCATCTAGTGGACTCATTGCCAAAATACAATGTGAGTTGAGCTTCAAATAGTGCTTTGCCGCCACCTTGTGGAATCTATTGGCAATTACAAACCTTTTTAGAGTGGCTTTCAATGACGCATGAATTTTCACATCGGAGGTTCGGTCCTGATGCCCCTGCGCAAAGCGGGGCAACTCTAATTCCTTGACGTCTCACCCAGCTGCCGATTTCCTCCCACGTGTGTTTGTGTGGCTGCTGCTTGGCCAAAAGAAGAGAGTCAGCAGGCAGGCCGTAGCTCTCGGCCACGAAGGCGCGCAGGCCGACAGCCGACGAGTCGCACGATGCGTTCCAGATCAGCTCCTCCGCCGGGTGGTAGCAGCTCTGTCCCGGGACGCCCATCTTAATATTCAGCACTATTTCCTTGGGGCTTCATCAAACCAAGAACATCTATGTTAGTTAAATTATGCAACGACATATTCAACTCAAATATGCATGGCCTCGGTGGATTCTTCTTCATGCACCATGACAGTTGTTTAACAGTTATTTGACTTGAGTAGCTTGTACAAATTTTGCAATTTAAAAAAAAAAAAAAAAAAAAAAAAAAAAAAGGTAATTTTAAATGTATTACTGTTATCACTACGAGGCTTGGGCAGATGACGGATTTGATGGGTTTTTTTAACTCAAAGGGCAACATAAACACCAAAGCAAAAATCAG